GAAGCCATGCTACCGTTTCGATCCCGGGCGTCGGACCAAGACGTGACATTCGGATATCTTCAGCACTGCTGACCTCAATCACAGCATGTTTCATCGGGGTTAACCTTTGGTTGTTGAGGCTCAGTGAAATTCAGCAGCGCCCCATTGCTTGAGTCCGCCCTCCAAACGTGGAGTGAAATTTCAGTCAGACCCACCAATCTGCTTTTCCGCCCAGGCTGCACCGCTTGCTGAGTCACAGGTGACTCAGATATCTGATGATACAGCCAAGGTGCGCGCGCTGCGTGTGAGACTTGTGCGAATTTAAAGGCTTGTGGACTGCGCGCCAGGTTCCCCTGGACGTGACTCTGAAGCCTGGTGGCTTGGATGGGCTTTGGGAAAACTTAGAGTACGTCTGTGTGAAGCAGAAGCAGATGGGATGTGATAAAATAATGAGGCCTACGCCTCCTGTCACACGAGCTTCTTCTTCCCACGTCAGCACGGAGAAGCGCCGAAAGTGCCTTGCTGAAGTTTGGGAAAGACTTGGGCGACCGCGGTGGGACCGATTCAGGGCGGAGAATCAACTGGAGAAGCCTGGCTCGCACCACTTGTTTTTATTCTGCTATCCCAACAAGCAAATGGTTTAAGTCCTTTGGTGCTAGCTCCTTAAATTGACTTGGTACGGCAGACGATCCACACCAGAAACATGACTACGATTCGCCGACTGCGCTTCAGCAACTGCGATATACTGGCTGAGATTCAGCAATCATTTGTGTCGATTCAGCAACTACAAGTCCGGGTTAGTGCCTGCAATTTTGTAAGTACGACCTGGCTACTCGCATTCATTAACTTCAGCAAGTGCGCTGGTGCGGTGCTGCAACTATAGTTTAGGAATTAGCAAGTACTATTCAGCGATTACCAGCCTCCTGATTGAGCAACTGCCAGTCAATAGCTGCGGTTCGGCCACCGCGCTGCCAAGTGTGTTTGTCTTTTTATGGTTCCTTGGTTCTCAGCAAACATGCAGCGACCTATCTAGGTACCTTGCTCACAGATGCTGTTGATAACAGAACATAATCTGTGAATCTGAACAGAAGTTCAGAATCAACACGCGCTTGCAACTGACGGAAGCTTTGTGGCACAAGGCGCAAACTACCATCGGGTGGAAAGTTCAGGTATACAGTATACCACCCTGTTATACGCAGCAAGCCTTGATATCGACTAGAAACAATCCAGCTGAACAAAGCAACGCTCAACAGCTTGAACGCCTTGCAAATGAAAGGGTATCGCAGAATTCTTTGAGTGCCGCCGACCAGCATAGATAGAGCGCAATGACCAACGAGTCAGTGAGATATATTCTCAGAAACCAGCATGGTATACATTTCGAGGACTTTTCAACCAATGTGGACAACGTTTTTTTCCCCAACAGCTGAAAGCTTTGGGGTCTCAGCCCAGATAGGGTCCTGGGGTGGTGCGGGGCGGTCCTGAGGTAAGGTTCCACGAGGGTTGCGCCAGGGTTCCACCACATTTTACTAGGGCAGCGGGGTGGTGCGGGGAAATTTGAGGTAAGGTTCCACGAGGGGTTCCACCAGGGTTCCACCAGGTTCTGCAAGGGCTGTGGGGGGTCCGGGGTGGTTTGAGGTCAGGTTCCACAAAGGTTCCACCAGGGTTCCACCGGGTTCTGCGAGGGCTGCGGGGTGGTCCGGGGTGGTTTGAGGCAAGGTCCCACCAGTCTTCCACCAGGTTCTGCGAGGGCTACAGGATGGTCCGGGGTGGTTTGGGGTAATGTTCCATCAGGGTTCCACCAGGGTTCCACCAGGTTCTGCCAGGGCTGCGGGGGGGTCGGGGTGGTTTGAGGTCAGGTTCAGGTTCAACGTAAGGTTACACGAGGGTTCGAACAGGTTTCACCAGGGTTCCACCAGGTTCCTGCAAGGTTGGTTTGAGGTAATTCCGTCTGCGAGGGCTGCGGGGTGGTCCGGGGTGGTTTGAGGTAAGGTTCCACAAGGTTTCTCCACCAGGGTTCCACCAGCGGCTGCGGGGTGGTCCGGGGTGGTTTTAGAAGGTTCCACAAAAGCTCCGCCAAAGTTCGACCAGGATTCCACCATTGTTGCGAGGCAAGGCTTCAAAGGGTTCCACAGAGTTCCGCGAGGAATGTGTCGTGCGCCCGTCGTCTGCTCAGAAGATCGCCTTGCTCATGGGCGGAACACTAAGCAAAACCGAAGTTCATGGTTCCCAGCACACTTTCAATGTTTTGTGACTTGCTCACTTCTTCAAGCAATGCGGCCCGAAATGTTGGCTTTGTTGCAAATCAGATCACGTTGCTGCGGGACTCTCACTGTGCAGCAGAGTAAATGCTTGGCATGACTGCGCATTACTTGGGCTTTGGGTTCCAAAAACGCTCCACGAGGTTTCCACCAGGTTGTGCAAAAGCTATGGGGCAGCCCTGAGGAAAGGTTCCAACAAAGTTTCACGCTGAGTTCGACGAAGGTTCAACGAGGACGGTTTGCGAGGTTCACCAGGCACAGGTCGGGCGATGCGCCGTCGGGGCCCGATTGCACCGTCGGGGCCCGATCGGGCCCGATTGCGCTGTCGGGCCCCGATCGGGGCCGGACTCAGTCGGGCCGCGTCAACTGTATAAAGCTGGCATGGCCTAGTTTTGCTGGATACAAAAAACCGGCGTTGAGCTATAATATGTGGCTGGGGTTGGTGGGAGCCCGCTTGCACCACGGGACCATCGGGCCCCGGTCGGGGCCCGATTGCGCCGTCGGGCCCCGCTCGGGCCCCGATTGCACCGTCAGCCCCCCCGATTGCGCCGTCGCCCCGATCGGGCCCCGATTGCGCCGTCGGGCCCCGATCAGGGCGCGTCACTCTTAGCTTTGGTTTACAAAATCACAAGGCGGCATCCTCAGCAAAACCGGTCGCGGGGCGTTCCGCAAGGCTTCTGGGAGGGTGTGGTGCTGTTGGGGATACGGTTTGAGGGGTTCCACGAGGGTTCCACCAATGTTCACGTGCGTTTATCAGGGTTCCACAGTTCCACGAAGGTTCCAAAAGGGCCGGGTAAGGTTCCATGAAGGTTCCACCAAGTTTCTGAAAGGTAAGGTTGCGTCAATTTTTTCACCAGGGTGTCAAAAGGTTCGACGAGGTTCTGCGAGGGATGCGGGATGCTCCGGGGCGCCCCTGAGGTTTCGCAGGGTTGCACAGAGTTCCGCAAGGATTCTACAAGGGTTCCAGAAATGTTCTGCAAGGTTCTGTGGTTTGCCCTGGAGAGAAGCAGTGTGTCGTGCTCCCGCCGTCTGAAAAGCCATCGGAGCAGTAAATTGAGGGCTCCTGGGCGGAACACTAAGCAAAACGGAAATCAATGACACTGTCACTGTTCTGTCACTTGCTCACTTGCTCAGGCAACGCAGCCCGAAATGTTGGCTTCTGGCAAATCAGATCACGTTGCTGCAGGACTCACTGTGCAGCAGAGTAAATGCTTGGCATTGCTGAGTATTACTTGGTGGGCTTTAGGTTCCAAGAATTCCACGAGGCTGCAAGGGCTATGGGGTAAGGTTGCAAAAGCGCTCCACGAGGTTTGCGCAGGTTCTGCAACAGCTATGGGGCAGCCCTGAGGCAAGGTTCCAACAACAATGTTTGACGCTGAGTTGCACGAGGGTTCCACGAGGATGATTTGCGAGGTTCACCGGGGCCCAGACCGATTGCACCGTCGGGGCTCGATTGCACCGTCGGGGCACGATTGCACCGTCGGGGCCCGATCGGCCCCGCTTGCGCCATCGCGCCCTGATCGCACCCCCCACTCAGTCGGGCCCCGTCAACTGAACCAAGCTGGCTTTTGCCAGACACAGTTGCAAGTCCTAAACCCGCGTTGAGCTATGAATGGGTGGCTGGGGTTGCACCAAGGGACCATCGGGCCCCGGGCCCCGATTCCACCGTCGGGCCCCGATCGTGGGCTGCACCGATCGGGCCTGCGCCGTCGCCATCCGACGATTGGGCCCCGGTTGCACCGTCGGGCGCCCTCGGGCCCCGCTCGGGCCCAGATTGCACCGTCGCGCCCCGACCCCGATTACACCGTCAGGCCGCGACCCACTCAGGCCCCGATTGCACCGGCAGGCCCCCGGCTTGCCCTCAGGCCCCGATCGGGCCCCTTGAGCCCCCGTTGCACCGTCGGGCCCGCTCGGGCCCGATTGCACCGTCGGGCCCCGATCAGCTTTGCTTTATAAAGTTACAAGGCGGCATCCTCAGCAACACCGGCGGTGAGGTGGGTGTCGGGCGTTCCGCGGGGATATCGCCTGAGCTTATTTTTTAAACACCAAAAAACACGCTACCAGGACACATTCTTGCTTCAGGGGGCCCTGGACCTGTGTTCGAAAAAGGCACGCGATTGAGTGCGCTAAGCGAGTTGGAAAATCATGGGCGCAGTGGTTGATATAAGCAAAAATAACAAGAACACATACTCAGATGCATACTATGCGCCAGGACGAAGCTGAAGGATTTAATATCCAACACCCACCGCGTTGAAACCATATGAACAACTTGGCAACCCAACGGTGCGGAATATGTGCCTTACAGTCGCTCACGTGTGTTGCGAATGTTTTCCACACTACTACCGGATGAACGTTCAACGAAAGCACGAAAGGCGCTACCACCCCGGCCACTGTTTTGGGAATTTCGCCTAGGATGTTGACATCACCTCGGCCACTGTTTTGGGGCTTTCGCCTAGGATGTTGACACCACCTCGGCCACTGTTTTGGGGTTTTCGCCTGGCATGTTGACACCACCTCGGCCACTGTTTTGGGGATTTCGCCTAGGATGTTGACACCACCTCGGCCACTGTTTTGGGGTTTTCGCCTGGCATGTTGACACCACCTCGGCCACTGTTTTGGGGCTTTCGCATGGGATGTTGACACCACCTCGGCCACTGTTTTGGGGAGTTCGCCTAGGTCTTGGGGATTTGACTTCAACATCCTAGGCGAAGCCCCAAAGCAGTGGCCGAGGTGGTGCCAACTAGTAGCAACAGAAGCTGCAATGCCAACAGAACTTATCATCGAAGGAAGACGTCACCGAAAGAAGGGCTCCTCCCTGCCCAGCCTTGTTTGCACTCTTTCTTGTGCATATGTGCCGTGATTTGCGTGTTGCAGGTGGTTCGAGCATACATTTCTTTCGGAATATGAGCAAGGCCGCAGCATTTCTCGCTTTCTGCTCAGAAGAAGCACCAGGATTTCTGCGCTCAGCTGTTACAGCTTGCGCATGGCCGAAAGCATGGAACAGAACGACCAGCTTGTGCACAGCTGTTTTTTTGCATCAAACAACCTTGGACATAGTAATATATATATATATATATATATAGTTGTTTGAGTTTGGCCAGGATTGACGATTCTCCGGAAAGACTTCTGTGTAATCTTCAATCTTGAATCTTCCATCCAGTGGTAAAATACTTTCAAGTGCTGAGCAAGTGGAACCGTTTTCAAGTTGTTAATTCGACAAACTTTCAAGTGCTTTTGGTGAGCGGTTTGTTTCATGTAAGCTATGCTCATGTTGACCCTTTTCCAGGAGATAAAGGTAGATGTAATGCTAAGAATACTGCATTTGCAGCATTTTAGGAACACGTTCATGAGGTCCTGTATGTTTGTTTGTATGTAGGTATATATAAATAGAATGTTCACACACCGTCAGCCCCCCCCTCCCCCCCCGAGCTACCTGTCCATCTTTGCTCATCTACTACCTCCGCCTTTTGAGATAGAATGAAGCACGATTTCCTGCCCAAATGAGGCTATAAATACAATTGATTTAGCTAGAATCCCTCTTTCGAGGTTGTTTAAGAATTTGCACCTCTCTTTTCCCTTGAAATGTTTATTTTGAAACACGGTCTAACAAGTTTGTTTTTGGACCTTTCTGATGCTACAAACGGGCCAGAATGTAAATAACGCAGAGCGTATTGTGAATTTCCTGTCAGAACTCCCTTAAATGTTTAGCCATATGTATTATGAATTGTGTTTGAGAATTAGTTTCTGTTTAATTGTCATCATCAAACGCTTATTGAATTGTGTTCGTATTAGATTGTATATACACTTAAATTATATTTGGGAATCAACTCCTATCTAATTTCTTTTGTTAACGATTACTTGGAGTTTACCCGAAATTATATTTACATGTTCATGTAACTCCTATTTGGAAAGGATTTGTTTATTTAAGTTGTATTTGAACATAGAATACATTTTGGAAAACTATATCCTTACTAAACTATATTCACAATTCCAATTCTAGTTGAAATAACATCTTATTTGAAAAGGGTATCATACTGGGACATTTTGGAGGACTCCGGGCTCCAAATTATTAGGCTTTGGGGACCCAAAATTGGAAGTTTTGAAAGTTTGAATCTCCAGATTTTAGATTTATCATTCCCCCAAAGGCACTAACACCAGGGTCCATGGGGGGGGCGTTGCGTATATATATAATATATATATATATATATATACACATATGTTTATAAACGTATACATGTATGTTTGTGTAGAGAGCTGGTACAGTAGAACACATGCAGCTTTGGCTTGTGCCTAGTAGGGTGTTCATGCTGTGCTTTGCTTTCGAGCCGACTGTCTTCTAGTTTTCGTTGTCGAAACTGCTGTTTTGGTTTCCGAATGTGTCGTTTGAGTTGCGGCCGAATCCGTTTTGTAGTTGCCAAATCAGCTGTTGACTCAAACCGAAGGTTATGCCAACTTTGCACTAATCCTAGGCTGCTGCGATGTCAGAGAGGCTTGGCCTGACAAGAACGGCAGGCTGGGTTGTGATGCTTGCTTGCTCCAGGCCGAAATGCAGGTCCAGTCCAAGCCTGGGCCTTGCACGAGTCCGCGTGATCAGAGTTTCGCCGCAACGCATCCCCCAGGTGCCAAAGGCGCGAATTACGGCACCTGACACAGCCCGAGCCTCAGCCAATCAACAAAAACGTCCAGAGCAGCTCCAGGACAGCCTGTCTGCTTTGGGCTTGTTCTGGTTTGTGCGCGCTGTCTCCACGCGTGATGTTTGTGAAGAGGTTTTCGACTGATTCACGAATTTCCAGACAAAAGTTCCGCAGACTGCATATCCGTTGGTCACAGTTCCAGGTTCCCAGGTTCAAAGATTTCCTCCACGAATGTTGTTCTTCATGGGTTCCCAATTTCAATGGATTCCCCAACATGTTTCCCATCGTTCCCCACACGTTCTGGTTTTGGGAACGGACTCTCAGCCAAAGAGGGCCAAGGCAAAACGCACCTTATTTGTTTTTGGATGCTTGGGTCATGAACGCTTTGAGGTTCTGTCCTCTGTTTTTGTTGTTTCCATTTTGGTGTTGCTTCTGGTGACGTAGCACAGCTGTCAAAGTCGAAGCGCTTTGAAACTCTTCATAGTTTGGCAATGGTTTGACGGTTATGCGTTGCACCATCACACACCATATACGTTTCAAACATCTTTCGACGTTGCGAAGGTGAAGGGCTTGGAGGGTCTCCATAAGCTCTACAGCGAGAAGACGGGCACTCTGGGCCAGGAGGAGCTTCGCAGCGGTTCCCTCGGTTGCCTTGAGGCACCACCAACCAAAATATAGTTGCTTGTGCTGGAAGGTTTTGCCGGACTAATCTGTGCCAACTATGCCCCGAATTCATTTTACAATTGTCATTGCCGTCACAGCGCTTGGACTTGCGAGCTGTTGCAGCTTTGTCCCAGGAGATTGCTTTGCTGATGCTCCGTCAGCAAGAGGAGGAAGTTTGGGAGCAGGAATTAAACTTGACGTGGAGGCGCAAGCATGGCATTCGTTGCGTTCGACTTTGGCTGTGGCGAGTCTAAAGTGATCTTGCTCAGGCCTAGCCCACAGCCCTGATCCAACTGCCTAGCTGGTTGCGTGAGTCGTGGGTGGTGAAGCAGAGGGCTTTTATGCGTTGCATGATCGTATGACCATTTTTGAAAGTATGATACGCCTTTCCCCCCACGGCAAGCTATTCTTCATGAGGGACGATGCTGTCCTGTGCTGGGCTGCTGCAAGGCACTCAGCCTGTGTGACATCTAAGCGCGAGCAAAAAGCATGGCCGATGTTTGCACGGGAATTGGAAAGGCTGATGATTATATTTGCGAATTACAGATTGTCACAGGCTTTGAATATATGCTTTAAAGGTGGAGGCATGCGCAGTAGGGTGGGCTCTGGGCAGCTCATACCTTCAATTGTGCCCGTCGCAGGTCCTGCAATCCCAAGCTGGTCTTCATTCCCCTGTGCCTTGTGGCTGGGACAGGAGCTCAGTCAAGACTTGCAGTGACAAAGATGGCATGTCTTTGATTGATCCGTGTAGCCTTTCAGCCTTGCTGGACCCGCTTGAAGACTTGGCCGTGAGATCTCTCCTGTGGCTAGATACTGTGAAAACATTTGTCTCGGTGAATCAGGGCAACTCCCTTTGGAAACATGCGCTTTGACAAACATCGCCATTCCACAGGAATTCACGCTCTGAAGGTTATGGCTAAACCCTGAGTGTCAGTATTTGCGTGCAAACAATTGAACATACTTTGAAGTACCCCAATGCACTCATTTGCGATCAAGCAATCCCATTTTGAAATCAAAACAACTGGAGATTTCACAGCCATAGTTCAAGTCTCACGTGCTGTGGAGTCGTCAGCCTGTCGTGCAAAAGCTTCCGCTGAGCAGTCTCTGTGTCCTTTGCTAAAATCACAGATAATCTGAAGCGAATGCCTACTTTTCTTGCGAAATATCGCCCCCATCCCCCGTCAGTTTTCCTTCTAAAATGAATCGCTTTCTTCCCCACGCCCAAGGATGCCTGGATGTGTGCTATGTGTGTTTCGACATCAGAAGCTCGTCCAATGCATCAGGCCTGGAGCACAAGGTTGCGTGCATGCCTGAATCAAGGAAATTATGAAATGATATGGCTTGCCAGGAATGCATAACTGTGGCGCAGGAGACACAGGGCGATCAGGCTGGTTTTGCGACTTATGATTGAGTGGCTCTCATGGCAACGCCGCAGGCGATTTGGAAGCCTTGGGTTTGTCCCAGCCCAGGGTTCCGTGCTCAGTCCTGCAGGAAGAAAGATATGGCTGTGGGTCAAAACCAATGGTACCATTTTGGGGTACTCATTTAGTCTATTTTAGCGGGGATTGGGATGTTCACTGGGGGTACGGGATTTTGACCCATGGCCATATTGTGTGGAGACTGTTTCCACTCAGGTCGCATGCAGCCAGGTTTTCGCAGACATTGAGGCGGGTATGGCAGCAAGCAAGCGATGTGGCTGTGTGGCAGCAGCTGCCAAGGCCTGCTCCAAAATGTCATCCTCGGGATGACCCGGAGCCTGACCAGGATGGCATAAGCTTCAGATCTGCTGCAGGCTGCGATTTGTAGATTCGAGCTGTGCTAAGTCTCACCCAAGAAGCTAATTCGAAATATGGCTTGCTCGCTTCGAAGTGGACCAAAGATGATTCTCGAACGTTTGGTATGGGGGCTCATGCCAGGCAAGCGGGCTAAGCACAGTCGCGGTCGGTCGCAAGACTCTGCTGTCAATGAACCACAGCAGCTCTAGCTCTTGGCCGAGTTTGATAGAATGCATTTTTTGCATGAATACTTAGTGCGGGAGGGGAGAATTTCCTAGCGTTGCGCAGCAGCTTCACGTTCACCGCTGGACAGATGTAACAACCTGGACTTGGCGGCAGCATGTGTCTTGGCACTGGCTCAGGGCTAGCTAAGTTATGGTGTTAATTTCTGCCAGTTTCATGCCGAGTGTCCACGTCCAGCAAAGACTTAGTACAGCTTGATGCAGACTCGATGAAGGATATACTCAGCAAACAAATCCTGATAAGTCAGGGCGCGTGTTTCTGTGTTCCTGGACATGGAGCGAACCTCGATAAAAGTTCTCGCGGCTTCCAAAGGTGATGTGAGGGCCTCAGATATGCAGCAGCTATAGAGCAGTCGCCCAGAGGCTTTCGTAACAGCCATGCATGACAGCTTTGCATTCAGTTTGACAGCATGTGCGCCTCGCCAGCCATTGCACATTTTTACAGAAATGCATGGAGAGAAAAACAAAGCTCCGTGAGTACATCTCGGATTCAGCCGAGAAAGGTTTGAAATGCACATGCTGCAATGCAGTTTGCAGTTTGCGCAAATCAGCAACCAAGGCTGTGTCAAGAAATCTCGCCCTCCTCACGAGCCATCAAGAGCACCGCGCTTCATACTGAGACTGCCTCGAACTGGACCCGTTTTGGGCTTTGTGAGATAGGGACGCGGGTTGTTCCGGCTGAGGTGCAAGCCATCAGAATGCTTGAAGCCATGGCGGAGACCACTGAGGCCAGACTGCCCCGAGTTCCGACATTTTGGACGTTTTGGACGTTTTGGACTTGCTTTTTGCCTTGCTTCTGAGCCAGGGGCGGTCCAGCATCATCGCATCTGGTGGTGCCAAGATGCTGGTCGCCCTGCTAGCCCGGTGCTAAGCTTCGACGTGTTGCGAGGCTGTAGTCTGGCATGTTCGTACGTGGCTCGCAGGTTCGACCCAGCGACCAGGCCTGATTTGGAGCATGAAGTCTGGAACTTGGCCTCTGGCAGGTTATGCCCTATGAAAAGATCAAGGTGGCGAACACCTTCGCAAAGCTCGCTGCCTCTCCACCGTCAGGGACTGAGAGTTCGAGCCTGGTCGAACCTCTTGGCATTTGGACAAAGTCGGGATATTGCCAGGTGCCGCGCAGTGATCATCAATGCTGCAGCCATTCCGCAGTTTGTCAGGCTGCTGGCAGGACGAGCAGACTGCCACGGCATCATAATGCATCAAGTCAACCAAATGCGAAGCGATACTCAGGGAAACTCTCAGGGTTCTGTTTTGTTTGGACAAACCCTCACAGGTGGCTCTGTGGCTGCGGGGCAGATTCAATGTGCCTTTGGATAGCTTTGATATCTTTGGATGTTATGCAACATTTGTTTTTTCTATTCCCTGGCTTCTTTGTGTTGACCCTGCTGTGGCTCTTGGTTTTTTGCTGATCACACAACTACTGCAAGCAGAGACGTCTTGATGGATTCTATAGCAAGCAGATAGAGAGAGGGCGCATTATTCTTCCCCCAGGTTGCTCAAATATGTAGCCCAATATCAATCTCTTCCAACGGTGTCAAACACATCCATCTTTTTTGCCATCCATGCCAGCCTTTATTCTGAAATCCAACGATAGTATAGAGGGCCGTTTGGGAAAGCCATGTGGTGGTGGTTGGCACTTCTGGTGGGCGTTGAAGGCACGATACTCTTCCTGTTGTCGGGCTGCTCGCATTCCAAATCAGCTTATGAGCAAGCTTCCGGTACCTCCTGCAGGCTACCTTCCCCTTACTGTATTCCAAGACAGCGTGTAATTCCCGAAAGCAGCTCTTGATAGACTACTTTGCCATGTCGTGCAAATTTGCTGAGGAGGGGTTCTGCCCTGCAACGATGCGTCGGCGAATAACTTTTGCAATTGTTTTGGAGGTCAGGTGAGCTGAGTTGGGATGACTAGAGTACATTTTGGTCGCCCTCTTGCAGGTGCTTCTCGCCTGCCAAACTTAGTGTGAATGCCAGGCTGCCGTCATGGCTAGATCGTTCGCGATTGATTTGAGCACAAGCAGCCGAGTTAGTTCGAATGTACGTGTATTCCCAGCAAGCAACCAAAATTCATCCAAACAAGAAGCTCCGGCACGTACGTAGTGTAGGTTGGCAGGCCAGCGCGAGCGTTTGTGACCTTTTCTACTGAACTGCCCGCAGGGCATAGCACCCTCAAAGCATGGGCTAGAGGTAGTCTTGCAGTCTTATGAGCATGTTTTTGAGCAAGCACACAGCAAGCTGTGCTTGCTCACACTTCATCTTGCAGCTGCAGGACTCCCAGAGGCACAGAGCGCCGCAGTTGCCGCTCTTCTGGCCTTGTCTCCTCAGAAGGGGTGCGCTCTCAGCTGACCGCGTCAGCATTTTGCTGTTCCAGTTGCCATTGGCATCTCCAGAGCTTTTGAGGTCCCGCCAGTTGATGGTGGAAGCTGGAGTGTTGGATGCGCGCCACAGCAGCAGCGCTATATTTCCTCCCAGCAATTCTTGCAAACTCCAAGCAGCGTTAGTCAGTTGAGGATTGCCCGCTCCTTTATGCAGCCTGACAATGTAGAAGAGAAGACGAGGCGAAGCCTGTGAGCTTTTTGGTGCTTTTGGTGCTTCGATTCTGAGTTCCATGCGCCAGTTTGGTGTGAGTGTTCCCAGGTTCTGCCAGTTGCTGGTGTCAATGTTGGACGGAGAATCGCTTCAGGTCCGTGTGGTCAAGCTGAGTCAAGCAGGATGTAAAACATGCTAAGACTCGTCATGATGTTGCATTCATTGGCACGACGGTCAGGAACGCATGCCACGAGTGCTCGCAGTTGCAGCGTCGACAGATACACTGTGACTTGCTTCAAGTTGTGAAAGACACTTCTGACTTATGACAATCTCTGCCGCCAAATCCGTCGGCGAGGTCTGGCCTCGTGTTTCTTCTATCACCTGAAGGGATCCTTCAGGTGTCAAGCGGCCAAGCAGATTTGTTCTTCGCGTATTTGACTGTGAAGGCTGCTTCAGCCGTCATCTTGATGTGCTGCCCACACCTTACAGCATCGTATCTAACCACTGCTCTGTCGGACAGTTGCGGAGGCACTCAGGAGCTCCGGGAGACGCTGATCAAGGTCTTGCACTGATCTTCGATTTCATGTCTCTTCCCTGCGCGCAGGCTGGGGCTCTGGCAGCGCTGCGCAAGTTGATTGCGCATGCAGATGGAAAGGTGGTAGAACAGGCTGGAGATCTTTCTGGTCGCTTTAGTTTGGCTTCAACTGGGAGTTGCAAGCCTGAGGCCCTCGAGGCTGTTGCAGCACTTATAACGCTCGACCGGGACGACGAGGCTTGACTTTCCAGGATTTCCTAAAGATCCAAAGAGAGTGGGCTTGGAGTGGGATGGAGCTAGTTGGGAGGAACAGTTTCCAGAAGAACATGGCTGCTGATGCTGGGGATGTTTTAGACCAAGCCATGCGAGTGACTATGGGGAATCATCAGATAATTCGCATTGCCCCATTAAACCTCAATCCAAAATCCAACACCCCGCGGCCCAACATTGCCCAAAAGAAGGGCACAAAAACTGCCAAGTACGGCGCAAAGTACAGGCTCTCAGCGGATGCGCAACTTGCCCTGCCCCTCCTTGAGTTCGGCAATGTGCAGTTTTGTGTAGCACAAGCAAGACAGATACAGAAAACATGTATACAGGCTTGGGAGACCCCCAGATTTTGAGCCAGACATGCAGGCCGGAAAACATTTGGCTTTGACAAGGATTCTGGAAGGAAGACACCAATTTTAGACTCAATGGCCGCTTCCATCTGTATGCTGGACTAGCATCAGAAGACTTGTGGATATTGTGCTATGTCCTTTCCCAAAGAGTTGCTCTCCCCTCGGCAGCATTGGCAGTCTGATGTGGCACGCGGCACCTTGGACCTCGAAGATGTGCTATGCGGCTGCTTGGATGATCTTGGGTGGCATGGCAACCGTTGAGGCATCAAGGAAAAGGGAATGTCCTGAGTTCGTGTCACCAGCTCGCACTAGTGGCACTTGAGGCGATATGTCAGCTGTTGTTCGTCTTCTGCAAGGCAAGACCGAGCGCACTGTGGACGTGTTTGTGCTCAAAGTGCTTTGAGATCTCACAGCCATGGCCCAGATGATCGACAGGCCCCACAGAGGAGATCCGTGGGGCAGCAAGCCACGTGGTGTTTCGACTTGCAGCAAGGGATGAGTTGGAGGTGCTCTATTTGCTTCAGGGCTCCTGGATTGTTCGAGCACTGGTCAGGCTCACGTGCGTGCTGCGGAGCCGCTGCCGCTTCTGGTGGCCTTGGTGCGGGTGCGCCCGAGCAGACTGCCCATGATTGAATAGACACTGAGCGGTGGCCCATTTCTGTTTGGTCAAGTTGAATCCATCTTCTTGCTTTAGTTGATCTAGTGTAGGCTTACTAAATGTCCCTAAAATACTCTCGTTGGAATGATCTCGAAAGTAGCTCATATACTCCAGATAGCAAAGCTGCCAATAATTTCCAACAAAGCCTCTTGAGCTCCACAAGGGAGCGCAGCAAGCCTAACATTCTGATCATGCTCGCCGAGCCGACGGTTTGTCTTGAGCCTAGGATGGCAAGGCCAAAACCAGAGCCTGGGCCATCAGCGCTTTGAGGCGTGAGCAGACGTGCGTCATGACACATCTTCACCGTACTTCCGTACGCCGTGGCCAGGCTACTCAGCACCACTTCGGAAGCGCGAGAAACGGTCACGCAAGCTGCGGGAGCCCCACATTCTCATCACTCGCTTGTGCTGCATGCTGCTTCCTCACGCAAGGTTCCTATGGAAGATGAAGAAAGAGAGACACTACTTGCAAAAATTCGCACGCTGTGCTTCTAAGGCATAATCCAGTTGAGTGGCACGTTGAGCTAACCCTCTGAAGGAGGGGCACTCTGCACACAAAGTGTGAGAGGCCTGCTGCTCGTGGCCACGCCTTATGTACAGCCTGCAATTTTGTCATGCCTACTCAGAAGTGATGTGTGTTTATGCAGCGGAAATGGAAGCAACAGGCAAGTGGAGGCCCAATGTGAGAACAAACGAAACTAAGCTCTGCCACCTTTCTGGAACTTCCTCAAGAAAGGTGGATCCAATCGCATGTCTTTGCTTTTTGGCTCAAATTAGGCACCATCCCTGCTCGCTCAGGGCAAGGAGCCCAGTGAATGCCGCGAAGAGGGCCGTGGATTTCGGAATCGGTTGTGGGGCTGAATGGAAATCAGTTGTGCATTTTTCCGTCGTATGCAGGTTTCTGTTCAGCCTATCAGGCCAGCGTGCCACCCTGAACACTGAAGTTGCCAGAAGGCCTGGTGAGAGGTGTGATGGGAGGTGTGAGAGGTGTGGGAGGCGCTGTGACACCTGGCCTTGCACAGGCCATGAAGCTTCTCTGGCTGGTCCTCCTGCCACTGAGCCGCTTGGCGTCAGCGCACCTTGAGCCTGGACTGAACAAGCTGCACCCTCCCATCAGGGGTCTTGCAGGCGAAAGATATGCCAGCCAACACACACACACACACATCAGCCAGAAGCCTATTTGCTCAAATACATTCCTGTTCGGTCGGAACTCGTCGACAACCAACATGCAATCTTGCCGTGGTCATAAGACCCCTTTACTGTTCTTTCTTTTTCAAAGGGATGGTCATCGACTTTTTGGTTGGGTTTTTAGACAACTTAGTAGGGAGTCATGCATCAGGAACTCCCTGAACAATTCCCATGCCCATATAAATCTGCCGGTATGTTGCGGGCGCAGGCTCACTGTCTATTTGCTTTGCCAGTCTCAACCAACAATTAGCCTAGGGTAGAAAGAGTAAACTATGTAGAAGGCAGTCTTAGCCGAAAGGGACAGAGCAGCGTGGTGAGCAAGGTTTGGCCACTTGCTTGTTTGCCTGTACTGGTTTGATTGGAACCTCATCCAGTGTTATAGCAGTGGGTGTGCAAACAACTACAAAGTGCAAGTGCGGGTAGTCGGATTACTGTCCATGAGAATTACGAAACCTTAGCCATGGAAATTCCGTGACTCAGCCAGGCAAAGCGGCTGAACTTGCCTTCGATGAGAGTGGAAAGCCAATCACCAAAGTTGTGACTTTTCTGGAGGCTCCGAAGAAATGAATGCGTCGCGTATCATGCAACAGTCTTTTGCTGGAATTTGCCGGGACTCTTTTGCCAGTCGATGACAAAGAACCTGGAGGCAGACCAGAAGAAGGATGAAGAAATGAAAGACAAGTTTGTTTGCGCCTTGAGACGGCTGTGCCCAACGGCCAGACAATTCATTGCCAAGGATTGCTGGTGCAAGAAGAACAACAAGGACAAGAAAGAGGCCATTGCGGCTGCCCAGCAGTCTCCCCAGTTAATCGCTACAGCTCATGACATCACACAGCATCCAAGGGAGAAGCTGGCTAGCTTGACCGCCTTGGTGCAGGAGAGGCTGCGTCAGACCTGTGTGTTTGATTTCCAAATATTGCAAGTGGGTATTGAACCCCCAATTCACCAGGATCGTGTGTTCACTTGCAATGTTCAGGGAATCATTGCAAATTGCAGCATTTGGGCTTGGGGGATTGTCAGGATGTGAATCAGCCTGAAATGCAGGAGCTTGAGCCCAAAATCGATCAGCTCGGGACGCAAATCCGAGCTGCAAATGTGGAGCTCAATAAGAACAAAGCGGTGGCGCCAGCTGTTTTATGAGAAAGCAACCAGCAACAGATGTGTCCACACAATCCACGCTCATATGGTCGCAGAGGCTAGAATTAGATTCTTGCAGTCAAGTAACAGTTGCACATTCCGTACAAGTAACGAAGAGTATGGACCAGCATGGGAAAAAATGAGGGCGGACGTCAGGATGGGGTGAACATGGAGAGAGGATGGAGAGAAGATTCAGCAAGCTCAAAGAGTCCACATGGGGAAGAGAGGGAGGGGGGGGGCAGCCAGACGATGGACAAAGCCAACTCCATCCGAGCACAGCAGAGCGTGGCTCAGTCGTCTGCAATTGCGTCTCAAGGCCCTCAAGTTTATCAAAGGAGTGACATTCGTGACTTAAAGTTGTACGAGTTTTGGCTTTTTGACAAAGGCAGAAATCCTTCAAGGAGGACGAGGCAGCTTTGATGACTTCCATCAGCCAGGCCAGCTGATCCGTATCAGCCCTTTTTGGAAAAGCCTTGGCAGACATGAGCAACAGGTGACAGCGTTACAGATTTTCACCTGCGTTTGCTTGGTTGGACAACTGCAGACGCTGACTTCTACAATATCAATCGGCCCTGTGCCTGTTATTTGTGCGAAAGTTTGAGGTGTTTGGACCGACAGACTCTGCTGGGCTGGGTCATGTCATGCTTGTTGCAGGTTGCCAAGGCAAAGGAAGCTTTGGATAGCCATTTGCTTAGCATGAACGAGGGAATACGTGACGGGATGTTATGCAGGGCACTCCAAATCGGACTTCTGAATTGCTTGTTTGCTCAGAATTTCAGGTAGCACATCTGCGGAGATGAAGGCTGCCTACGCAGGCGCTTTGATGCAGTACTTCACACACACGATGTTGGCACTTCTCTAGAGCGAGCAACAGAAGCAGCCCCGGTCGCCACAAGTTCAGCAGGTCATCGCATGTAGTGATGTTTGGCAGGCAAAGATGCAGACCTAGTGTAAACAGTTTAGTTTGATTTTCAGGATGCTCAGCGTTTGCTTGGCACATCTACTTGATTATTTAGATTTGACAGGACCTACACTGCTGCAGATGTCCCCAAAGGAATTGCCAGGTCCCCAGCCGGCCTGGCCTGTGCGGAGACATGGCACTGCCTCGAGTGAGGCAGAAGCTGAGCGCCGGAGTGCGGCAGGCCAGTGATCGGCTGATCGGCGAAGAGATTGATATTTTGCCCGCACATTTTGCATCAAGAGCAAGCAGTTGTTAACTGTAGCTCGGTCATTTCTGCTAGTTTGATTTGTCCTTCGATGTGCCTTGGTCAAGGCCGTAGAAAATC